TCGAGTGATTTTTTTTTTGTCGTACCGAGGACGTAGCCTGGTGGTTGAAATCAATTTTCAATTAGGGTCCGTATGGGGCTTGGAATTATCGAGGGTCATGCTCTGTGTTGGGGTACTTAGGGTTATATATAATCACCCTGGGAATATTCATCTAGGACCATAATGGGAAGAGTATTTTATCTTGTGTCATAACGAGGTATACCATTTTATGTAGGGCCATACGATGTGTATATAATTTGGGTCATAGGATTTAATCTAAGGTCATAATGTGGTATAGGGTTTTATCTACCGTCATTTGTGGTAGAAGAGTGCTTTATTTAGGATTGGATGGGGAAGGTTTATAAATCAAATTATTTTGTAGAGAACCAAATTGGGAAGAAGGTCACCCTATGCCAGAAGATAAATGACAACAAAATGTAGTATTTTGGACACATTTCTAGGAGAAAAGGCGACAACCTGGAGATCATTACCCAAGACCATGTTGAGGGTCAACGAAAATGTGGTAGGCCAAGAGTTTGATGGGTTCATGGAATAAAAGAGATTACTGGCATTTGAACATCTGCACAGCTAGGCGCCATGCCCAGGACAGATGTTGTTGTAATGTCATCGTCTCCAGGGTCACAAGGGGTCAGGCATGATTCGTATAGGACGACGACGACGTTGGGGTATAGGTAGGGTTGGGATGATTACATGAACTATACCGGATACCCTTCTTAATGCGAGGTATGTGGTAGGAGAGTGTTTCATCTAGGGCTGTATAGGTTATAGGTAGGGTTGGGGTCGTTACAGAAACTATACATGATACCCTCCTAAATGCACTGGCCATGCGAGAGGGCGCTGTCTTCACTTGATATATGTCAATGGGAGAGCGATCGAAGACGCCAAGCTGCTCGTTTCTCTCGATGCCGACATAACCGACATAGCTAGTTGTCTCTGCAGTGCCTTCATAGTCCGACCGAAGAAAATTCGCATTGAAATGAGGGCGCTGTTCATTGTTCATGTATTCCTGTTCATTCATCCTGGGGATCTGGCACTTCTCTGAATCATTGGCGCTATTTTTGTAAATCACAACAGGGTTCCCTTCCGCATTAGGTGAGTGTTGCTTTGGCATGATGGGATTCATAGGGACGTAGTGGTGGTCTTGACTATCTTGGTCAGACGTTTTCAGCTTGACATCCTGATGAGGATTTAGGTAGATGAATATATCTTCTCTATCTTCTAGGGAGTCAAGGCCCGCGTAATCCACGAAGCCGGTTGTCTCTGCAGTGCCATCATTGTCCGACCGAAGACAATCCTCGTAGACATGAGGGCGGTGTTCACTGTTCATGTATTCATGCTTATGCTTCATGGGGATCTGGCACTTCTCCGAGTCATCGGAGGGACTTTCGTAGATTACGATAGGGTTCCCTTCCGCATCAGGTGATTGTTCCTTTGGCTGTATGGGATTCATTGGGATATAGAGGTGGTCTTGACTATCTTGGTCTGAAGATACCAGCTTGACATCTTGGAGAGGGTTCGGGTATCTACCTTCTCTATCGTCAAGGCCCTGGCATCCTGCATCGCACGATCGTGCAATGTTGACAACACCTGAAAGCACCTTTGAACCATTCCGCCTCTTTTCAAAAGCTATCTTGATTGCGCCTAAGATGATTACCATTATAACTATCATCATTACTGGTAAGACAATCTTTAACGTTTTTGGGAACCTTGGCAGTTTGCCTGCTGATGCAACGCTGGGGTTGGGAGATTCCAGCTGTGTCTTAGGCTTATTGCTCTCTCTAGGGATAGTAGATATTTCGAGAGATTTCTCTAAACCAATTGAAGTATTTCCATAGGTGCATCTGTCTGCTGATGTGCTGGAAGTACTGATGTCAGAGGTACCTGTCTCAGTAAGGTAAGGTATCATAAGTAGGTGTGTTGTAACTTTGTCTTGCCGAGACTCGGGTTTTGAGAATTGTAGCATGCTTAGCTGTTGTGCCTACTGCGGTTGATGTCATGGCTTAATGGTGAACGAATGGTGTCACTGTATCCGCCATGGTTGTTGTGAGCATGGTCAGACGACTTCGTTGGTGATCTTTGAAGAAAAAGATTGAAATTAATCAAATTGAAAGCAGAAATAGGGATCTATTCTCCCATACTCATTACCAAAAAGTATTAACGCGTCTCATCAGGCAATGCAGAGGTAATGTCTGCGATGTATATAATCAACACCAAAATGTCCAGGCATTGTTATCATAGAAATAAGGACAAGGGCCCGGTTTCATAAAGCTTGTAATCAGTGACAAGTTACACAAACTGTTATAAGCTACTGAAAACGTGGCATTTGATAGGCTGACAGCAAATTTGTCATAGAAATTTAGCATTTTTTATCGATAACAAGTTATATGCAACAGAGCCCGGTTTTTCAGTGTCCACTAGCATTATAGAAGGGAACGTTTTCGATGAAAACCAACAGCAATTTTTCATTATGATCTTTAAAAATGCAATACGTTTATGATGCTTAACAGTAAGACTATTAAAGCCGGTAATCAAAAGGGCCTGTTAGACTTGACAACCTGTGGGATTTTTATGAATACTCACTTGACTTGATGGCCGATACGATTATATCATCTACGGCTACACCCAGTGGCGTACGCAGGATTTTTTCAAGGGGGGGGGGGGGGGTTCAAAATCGGGTCCAAAATTTCGCAACGACTCAGGAAAATTTGAAAATCGCGCCGGCCAAAAAGTCGCTCAGTGGGGGGGGGGGGGGGGGGGTAAGCGGACACTTTTTTTTTTTTTTTTGGTCCCAAAAAAATCGCAACGACTCAACCGACCGCTGAATAAGCGGGGGGGGGGGGGGGGGGGACACTTTTTTTTTTTGGTCTCGAAATTTGAAAATTTGACATTTTGCTCCGTTGGGGGGGGGGGGTAAGGTCTCCTTTCTTAGGTCAGCTATGGGGGTAATTTTTTTTTTTAAATAATTAAAAAAACAAAAACAAACAAACAAACAAAGGGGGGTTTACACACATAAAAATACCAAAGGGGGGGGGTTAACCCCCCAAACACCCCCCTGCGTACGCGCCTGGCTACACCACCCGTGCCGAATTTGCAGACAGCTCGGAAAAATATCTGTAGCCGCGAAGATGGATGATAGAGGTAATGTTTATCGTGTTTGCATATTGAATATATATATATATTAAAGTAATGAGCACTGCTGTTTGTCTGTAAATATATACATGTAGATATAAATTGAGATTAAAATGAATGAACCGCTATACCACGACACCTCCACAACAAAATATCTTTAACATTTACACCCCCCCCCCCCCAAATTTTTTTTTTTTTTAAATAAATAAATAAATAAATCAGGGCAATTATCCTATGAAAACTCTCCAGATACCACTCACCTTTGGACACTGAGGGCAGCAGCAGAAGTTTACGCTGGGCGTCCTTCTCCATGCCGAGTCCCTGGAATTAGAGCGACGTTGAATGAATCTGAGATTTCCATCCACGGATACAACTAGACTACATCTTGCGTTACCATAGAACTTGTAGTAGAACGACAAGCTCGCCGTGATAGACGAGGCAATTAATGGCGGAAGACTGAACCCTTTCGTATCATACTCAGTATGGCGGTCGGTGACGTAATACCAACCTGGCGACAAAAACAAACAAACAAAATAATGAATACGAAAATTATAAATAAATAAATAAATAAATATACAAGTAAATAAAAGTGAGTCCTGATCGACGGACATTCAATAATGAAAGACTATTTTTTTTTCAAACGAAACTCAATATGACGGTCGGTTACATAATACCAACCTCATGAATACAAATAAATAGATACATAGATATATAAACAAATAAATAAACAAATAAACAAACAAACAAAACATTCAACAAAATATAAATAAATTCAAGCCGTGGTATACGAGGCGTCTAATGATGAAAGACTATTTCTGTCATAACAAACTAATATGACGGTCGGTGATGTAGTAAAAATTAATATCATTTTTAAAAAGAAATTTGCAGAGAAGCCCACCTTGATATTAAATTGTCTTTAACAAAAGAAGATGAAGTGAGATAATAATAATAATAGTACTGCTATAATGATAACAGCTAATGATTAAAGGCTCTATCAAACATTTCTTTTAAACCATCAATTCTGATTTTAGTACAGAATACAGAAACTGCTTAATACCCTGTTCATTATCTTCCCGCTCGTGACCGCTCTCTGCTGCCCACTGTGAAGACCGAATGCCGCATGTACTGCCGCTCACGAAGTTACAGGAGAACAACTCTGAAATTGCAGTAAAAAAGGAGTATACATTTACGTTGGTTATACAAAATGTAGAAGCGCGAAAAGAAGCGTCTGGAACACAAAATGCCTAATAAATTTGTTGAAAAGCATGGTTTTATCATAGCGGCAGACTCGAGTAGGCTAATTGTTACTTAAATTTACTAAATAATTAAGCATGTTTGGGCCATTTCATGCAACAAGCTTATTCGTCGCCCATTGTTTATGTCCAAACATTACAGAAAAGTGAGAGAAACCTGCCATTTATAGGTGTTTTTCTTGACTGTTACCTCTGTGTTTTTAAAGGAAAAGTGATGTAATTCTGCCAATCAAAAAGCTAATTAGCCTACCTGAAATTCCATTACAATATTTCCCCATCGTCAGGAAGATGAACGTTCCGAGAAATCCAATTGATGTAGTTTGCATTATGAAAATGTGATTTAAACATCAGCAGTTTTAAAGAATTAAACTCGCAACCTTAATGCATACGATATCAGATCCTATAAATATTATTGTCGGTCAATGTACACCAACGTTAGTTTAGGTCTTGTACTCCAATAATGTCTCTTGTTCACATCAAAGTCGCCTCCTGTGCATCAATAATGTGTCTTGACACGCCAAAAGGTGCCTTCTGTAGATCTAAATCAATAATGTCTCCTGTACACACCACTACAGGGAAATGCTGTCAACCGTGGACCAAGTTTAGTACTTGTGCGGACGTACCTCCTATGGGATGATCCAGGTAGCGAGCGCCTCTCCCGCGCAGTCAAAAGGGGGCGCTGTGACATTTCGCGATACACATCGGACTGATCCAGTCGATGTTGCCTACACGCTGTGACATCTAATATTCAAACGCCCCCTACGTCGTAATTTTGATACGGCGGAACCGGTATCGCAACCGTGGACGGTCCCCCATTGCAGGTACGTCCGCGGTTTGAGGTAGTTTTCTATGGAGTGGTCCGCGGTTGCTGGCGTTTTCCTACGCATGTACACACAACCAATCCTTTGGAACCGTTGTGCAATGTAACCCTGCATTTTTTGAATGGTTAGCTATGTGTACTGTGTACGTGTCGCTGTACAAAGCTTGCCTTGGGAATAGTGCACACACAAGCTATATATAGCTACGGTGTGCATTATGAGTATTATGAGCTAGACTGAATCTTGGTGTTTTCTCTGCAAAATAATGCTGAATACTGAGTTTTCCTGCTAATCTACAACAGTATGGGTAAGTTTAAGAATCATCTACCTTATTTACAATATGTACAAAGATCTATTCGATTTCTAGATAGTTATTTATGACAGTGTTAACTGCGACTTAAAACACATTCCGACAGGATAAGACTGAACATGTTTGATCCCATATGTATGAAGGGGTGACCAAAGTTCGCGGATATTTGTTTTTTTCTTGCACATTACAAAATATCCAGATCAACATATATCATGTTCCATACGTCATAAGAATCGTAATTTATCATATAATCAGATTATATGACATTCTAAGGCTGTATTTACTTCAAACCAATGATAAGACGAAAATATCGGAAGGCTTACCACTACCGGCGTCTGTCAAAAGGTGTGACCTAAGTTCGCGCATGATATTTACTGCCCTCTTGTGATGGGCTTTACAGATTTAAACATTCCAAAAAGGGACATAGTTTCGATCAAAAGCCGAACTTTATATTGAAACTTTGAAAAAGATAAATAATTCTCTCTATCATTGAAATTTTGCCCGAAAAAAATACCTTGTCAAATTGTTCAAATAAAAGACAATATTTTTCAATGTTTATGTGTTAATGACAATATAGTCCCTATCTGCATGTCATTTATTTGTTTAAAAAGCTTATCATGTGTCTCCTTTTTATATGTCAGCCATACATGAGTTCTCGCTCTTTTCTCTCTTTGTCTCTCCACTTTCCCCTTTTAAATTGTTACGAAACCCATAGATTCATTGTAATTCACAAACACAGATACGGTGGAAGCAGGCGCGCAGGTTCCGTTTTTTGCGTAAGAAATTGGAATTTTATCATTATTTTTCGGAGTCAATTATCCCTCTAATAAACTGATTTTCATATTTAAAAAACACAATTTCTTATGATAAAAAGCGTGAAAAAGCTAGCTTATTCACATTTTTATGTCACATTTTGACCTTTGGAGTTTTCGACGGTGCTCAAAGATTTCGTTGTCTCAGTCCCACACAGGCATCGCGTATCGTTCTCCTGTTATAAGCGCTTTTAGTGTTAGTACGCGAACTTTGGTCACGCGCGAACTTTGGTCACACCACCATACAATGTACGTAACTTGATGTAGGATCATGATGGGTTATGGAGCAGATATTCAAAGCAAAATGTGTCAATTTACATACACATTAACTCTGCTGTGATTAGTATCATTGTTCGCAAGATTTAATGTTTTGTTCTAGCTTTTTAGAACATAAATAGAATACTGCATACAAACCCAGCATATTAAAGAATTACGCTTATTCGATGTCATATCTACGTCTGTGAATGTGTGATTTCATGTTGACAGTTGTTGATATTCATATTTGTTTTTGTTATACTCTAATTCAAAATGTCTTTTTTAAATTACAGATATCGACGCAACATGACAAATGAGTAGTTTCCATATCGACGTCGTTCTTTATCATCATCTTCACCAATACATCAACGCCATCATCACCATGTCTTTGACGTCGACCTCCGTTTTCGCGTTTGAACTTTGAAGATTGTTGCGAACTCTAATAATGAATTGGATATTGGCATTATCGACGTTTGTTCTGTCTTTGAACACTGTCGCATCGAACTTTGATTGAAGGTAAGAACCTCCTTTTTACCTCCTTCGATTTGCGTTTCGTCGTTTGCAGGTCTGATCCTGACTTCGACTAATGATGACCTAATGATGACCTAACCTAGTCTTCAATCACCCTCGACGTCAAACTCTATACCGCGTTTCACCATCGCTGAACAATTGACTCCGCAATTGATTGACATCGCCGACTCTTGACCTTCGTTCATCATTCATTATTGAACTGTACTACGATCACCGACATCATCTACGATCAGCCAAAAAGGCCTAGTTACCATTTGTTTCTTCAAATTTCGTCTTTCGACTGAATTCGAGTACGACATCGTCAAAGAATCTCGCACCTCCGCTGGAAGGACAGTTTGTATAATGTATTATGTAATTTGAATATGAGTGGCAGTCTTCCGCTTTAGAAATAGACTTACCACTTTATAATATTGTTGTGTGCTGAAAATGTTTAGTGTCATGTATAATGATGTAACAAGCGGCAGTCTTCGCTATAGGAATAGACTTCAATTTTCGACTGTAAATTGTTTTATGTATTTTACGCAAGCTAGATTTTAGCTCGTTTGAATAAACGCTTTTAAAAAAGTGAACACATTGTTTCCATTGTTTGATGTTTGATACGTCATATGATCATTCAACAATAATGATCAACATGATTGTGATGTCTTTTTGTTAACAGATCATGTTTACGAGAGTAGTGGCTGAACCTTGAGAAAATGGATAATTGTGCTGAAAGTGGACTTCATGCCAGCTCCTGTCATTTTTGTGTCTACTTTGCAGACCAGCATGTTCTTTCAAAGATAAATGATCAAGGGCTGGCAGATATTATGAGGAATACTGTGTTGAAAGTGCTTTCATTATGTAGTAGATTTGTTATATATAGGAAATCTCTTACATAATGTCTCCTCTCGGAGTGAATCCCAATCCTTTACAGGTGTTACTCGTTAGGCTCCTCACAATGTGTGTATATATATATATATATATACACAATTATTAACAATTAATCATAAAACCACGCATGCGTCCAAAAATGTTATATCACGTTTTTTGATATCCTTAGTCCTTACAATTATTTGTAATTGTTGTATTTGTCCCGATGTATGTTTCTTGAGAATGTGACATATTGATGCATACATATAAAAGTGTTCAACAAAAGGTTTTAATGCAACCAGTCCACCTTTCATTGTTGAGTTACACACACAACAAAACGAGTATTTATATATGTGTGTGTGTGTGTGGCGATGTACCGATATTACCATATTTTTGTTTTAAATGTATTTCATAATGGCGAGCGAGTTGAAAAAGTACGTTACCATATTGCTCCGTTTAGTCTCATTTCACAACGCCCCCTATCGTCAGAGTCAGCAGTCTAACATGTTAGCCTATGGCCATTTTTTTTTTAAATCGTTAAAAATTCATTTTTTGTTTAAACGAAAAGCACATCCACCCCGACGTACGTTATCACTAGCTCTTTCATTGGAGCCCTCATGTCTCATTGACTTTTGAAAGTTCACCCACCGTAATTTTTCAAAATAGGTTGCAAGCTCGCCATTGCCTATAATACACATGTGCAACAAGTCGAACTTTGGACTCAGTCTGCCAAGCGATTGTAAGATTATAGGTCAAGCACACGAAGGATAAGAAGCATGAATTATCAATTATCACTTCTGCTATGTTCATTATGTCCATTTCATCCAACCCCCCACCGTATTTTTTCAATTTAGTAAAAGCAAACATTTAGCCGAGGTAAGCGAAAACATGAATATTCATGACACACCATGGACTATTCGGTTATTAACAGAGGGGTGCAATCGGTCATCACGTCAAACTCCCCTAATTTCCACCAAGTATTTCATATTATTATATAGTTTGGTATGTTTCTTTTACTCACTCATGAATTATTAAATATCAATGATGGTTTAAAGATATGTAAAAGAAATTTTAGTTGATATACAAAGTAATTTATATTTAGCAAAGTAATCTCACATACAAAATTACTATCAAGTGTCATCTGCTACGCCGGTTGTCGCCTGCTTCGTTTAAGGCACATAATATTTATCGTTTGGACTGTAGGTATACCAGGGCCCCGTCTTACAAAGAGTTATGATCGATCCAAATCAATCGTAAGTCCTACAATCAATCGCAATTTGCAGTCTCCTATCTCTTATGTACATAGTTACGATTGATATCAATCGCAAAAAAGTTACGATTGATATCAACTCTTTGTAAGACGGGGCCCAGGGAGATTCGTATTTTCCTGCGGTACCACGTATAGCAGGAAAATGTTGTATATGCGGATCTTTTTAATGATTGCGTAATGGAAGTGGCGAGACGCCACGATTCCGTATGGTTTGAATAACTTAGGCAGGTGAAAGTTATTGTATTGAGAAGGAAAGGAATGTTCACACCCGACGGCGCGGTGGCCTGTACTTATAGCGAAGAAGAAGAAGAATGTATAATTCGCGCCATTGCGCGCGAACACATCACACCCAATGGCATACACCCGGTACCCTGCAACACAGTGGAACATTCTGAGAAATTGAAAATTTATCTACAAAATAGACCTCTTGAATCATATGAGACGTAACTTATCCTATTCTGATGACTTCAATGAATTTCAAGATAACATTGGCTGCGTTTCCATCCAAAAATAAAACTAGTTTGCAATTAGAAATAGTCCATTTCTTGATAATTTCACAAAATATACTTCCCGCCGCATTCAATATGACGTCATTGACAGCTGATTGGCTAGTTTAGTAGTGACTTCGAACGAGCTATGTTTGTACTGCAGTGATCCAGCGAGCGAAAATGAGACAATCGGAGCAATATGCCGATTCATAACCCGATAACTGAAATTTCTGTTATCAAAAATGTATTTCATAATGGCGAGCGAGTTGAAAAAGTAGGATAACCTAACAAGTTTTACCTACAAAAATCTTCATTATGTCGAAATGCATTATTTTCATTAAAAAGAATACAGGTTATGACTCGCCATGAGATATTGAGAATTGTAAAACAGTGCATGCAATGCGAACATCGCGGAAATAACGTTGAATACCGGCGTATGAACTTATCGCTTTCAAGATAGATATTAGCAGGGATAAGGCAGTGCATAAATGCGAAATGAAGCCTCGTGTGCAACGAGCATTAAAATATAACGAGTATTAAAATATACCTTAAATGCATCAATGTTAAATCTGAGATGCGCGGCCCTACGTGTTATCAGTGTGTGTGATATGGTGTAATATTGAAGCCTTAAAAAATGCGCTTCAAAATGATCAAGAAGTGCCCCCCAAAAATAAAATTCTTTGAGTTACCGGTTTCACCATACTCGTTTTCCCCAATAAAGAAATTTAAAGCGCATGACACTTAAAGTCATCGTTACAAAAACACCGCGATTTTGCCGCATCATATCTGAACAAGCCTTCGCTCTCCGTTAATTTAAAAAAAAAAAACTGAAAGTAACATATGATTCTGCTTTCATTTCGCTATTGTGTTTCATTTTTAAACATCTAATAACAGAGACACATCTGAAGAGCAATTTGTGACTCATTGATACCCCCAGCTGCGGTACACATTGAAAAACAACCGGCTCATTGTGGAGTGTCTAGAGAGGCGTCAAGTAAGGCACAGACGAGTGCGGTGGCTGTACGCGGAATCTAGTTCATGATTTGACGATGTGGAGTGGACTTTGTAACCTGTCTAATAACGTGCCCCTCCCACATCTAGTGGTGAAAAAAGAGAGAAAAGAGTGGGGAAGAGGGAAAGGGGAAATGAAGCGAAAATAGGACGCCTGGACTACCTCCCGCACCCTCCTCCCAATCAATAGTCTTGTAAATTCGCATGTTATTTTGAGAATAAGACCAACCCCCTCCCCCTCTTACCCATTTGTCCGGCGCCCCCGACGCCAAAGAGACCAGGAGATCCGGCAATGAAAGACGTCCACATATAACTCGCCCATCTTAAACTTGCCTATTGTAAAATGTTGATTGCAACCCCCCCCCCCCCCCCGCCCCCCTCCCCCCATCACTTGTAATTGTATTGATTACCCCCCCCCCCCCCGCCCCACTCCCCTTATTCTTTGAAATTTTAGTAGTACTGTTCGAGTTTCCGAGTCTTTGAGGAGTTTAATTAAAAGACAATGAAACGGAGAAAGACCCAAGGATGTGGGGAACCACTATCAATCATCTATGTCTAAGTTATTAGATCTCAAGCGCGTTTATCCAAGCTTGACTTACCAATAAATAAACACTTCGTCATTGTCGCTACGTGAAATGTTTTGCAAATACACAGATCCGTCTGGATAATCATGTTTAAAGACTTAGATGAACTCCTACCACTTTTAACGTAACCGCTATTATCCTTCTCCTTATCATATTTTCTGCTAGTGCATGCACCGGCGATTCGCCATAATTATGTCCCAGTGACAAATGGTCGTGGCTTTATTTCATCCAATATTTAGGGTTGGGGTTAGGGTTAGGGATACGACTAGGGTAAGGTTTAGGTACAGTGTCGTTTCCATATAGGGTTAACAATACGAATTCGGTAAGTGTATGAGCAATTTTCGTGCTTCCACTATATTATCATACTTTATTCAACGGGCTCCAAAAAAAAAAACTTTTTTTTTAAAGTGATTGATATATGAGAGAATGGTGCCAGAAGATGATGACAAAGACTGAGAGGTAAAAGGAGTACACCTATAGTACACCCTGTAATTTAAAAAAAATTCATAATTTCGAAATTATTATCATCGGAACTATTATTACTGATTCAAGTATATAACAAACAATTGGCCAATCTGAATAAATAGTATTTCGGATGGAAATTAATATTTAACAATGGCCATGGATAGAATATATCAATTTATCTTAAGTCATAGTGTATTTGCTGTGCTTCTTAATCTGTATTCTCCTCCTCTTTGTCCATCATTTTTAAAGTTTCAATGCATCTTCGTTTATACCCAACTTATTTTCCTCTTTTTGTTATGCTATTCGAAATCAAATTAAATTGTTTAGTTTCCACTAGGAAACAAAACAAATCAAATCAATGACAATTTGTTTTTCTTATACAAGAGGCGAGGTCATAAGAAGCACAACAATGCTTTAAAAAAATTACCGCTTAGTAGTTACAATATACTAAATGGAAAATAAAAAGTATCAAATAATTAATACACTAATATGATAAGAAATGATAATAGTCACATTTTTTAGTGCTTAATACATTTGTTTCGCTTTACACCACACGACATTCTCGAGACGGTCGCAAGACGTCATGAGAACAATGCAACGGTTAAAGAACGCTTCTTCACTTCCGAAGATTCGTTTGCGTTTTCTGTGTTTTCTCTTAGGGGACGCCATTCCATTCACATGCATACGGTATGGTAACATTGAGAAGTATAACAAGTGAGTAGCCATAGGAAAGGTCAGATGTAACCCTTCCAAACAAGCATCTTGGGGTGTTGAGTCGGGAAAACAGATTCGTATCCTTCTTTCTTATTCAATAAGCATTATCAAATACGGATGGAGCTAACCAATTTTGTATGTTTTTAGGCCTTCGATGCAGACAAAACTGGGGCAACCTTTCATTATCT